TGCAGCCACTTGCTCCGACAGCTGCCTGCGGCCACTCGCAGCCACTCGCGGCCACTTGCGGCCACTCGAGTGGCTGCAAGTGGCTGCAAGTGGCTGCCATGCAGTTGTTCTAGAGACTCCTAGCGGCCACTTGCGGCCACTTGCGGCCACTCGAGTGGCTGCAAGTGGCTGCCATGCAGTTGTTCTAGAGACTCCTAGCGGCCACTTGCGGCCCCCTAGCGGCCACTTGCGGCCACTTGCGGCCACTCGAGTGGCTGCAAGTGGCTGCAAGTGGCTGCAAGCGTCTGCGAGTGGCTGCGAGTGGCTGCGAGTGGGCTGCGAGTGGCTGCGAGTGGCTGCGAGTGGCTGCAAGTGGCTGCCAGGCCCTAGCGGCCACTTGCGGCCACTTGCGGCCACTCGAGTGGCTGCAAGTGGCTGCAAGTGGCTGCTTTTTTGAAATTCAAATAGCGCGCGTTTTGCAACCTCAATGATATATTGGATAACCAAGACCTTGCAACCTGTGCTATCAATAATTATAGCAACCCCGAAATCAAAAAAACATAAAGAACCGCTTATATAGATTTACCACTATTTTTCGAAATGATCTGAGAGGGTTCCCCTTCTCAACTTCTCAACCCTTTTCTATCTTTTCCTTGGGCTGGCAACGACAGTGACGAGTTTCCAGCGGGAGATTCCACCGAGCCACTCTTCCCAGACTTCCTCGGATAAACAGCTCCAAACGTCCAGCATATCAGCGCCCGGGAAAGTCGTGCCAGAATCCTGCCGATTTCGGGGCTCACAAGTGATGTTTGTTGGAGATTTCTGGTGGATTGATTGGATTTATTGTGGATATAACAACTCCAACTCGGTTTTGTGTATTGGTTTATACATGTTTATACTACCCCATGTGACTAGTTCGATGTATATTCCCAGTAAATCCAAGAGTATCCACTTCGACCTCACTACACCCACAAGCAACACCATCCCCCCGTCCTGCCAACCCACTTCATCAAACCCTTATGGGCAACCCTACAAGGCCCACTGCCTACCCCATACTAACCCTAAAGGCCCTAAAGTCTCGGAGACGCTGAACTCAGTTTTTTTTTAATGTTTTCACCACATTGGAGAAAATCATGATGAATTTACCCTCTGGTGATTTAACATAGCCATGGAAACCATGGCCCATAGAAATAGATGGTTTACCGAACTTAAAAATGGTGATTTTCCATGGCTATGTAACAAATAACCAGATGGTATGTGATTTAGATTTACATATTTTACAGAGGTGACAGAAATTCATGGTGTCTTGCTACTTCTGGTATACTCTAAACTCTGAACTGGCTCATGACTAGGTTTACCCCAATTGTGGAAATGAAATGATGCTAAACAAAGGACACTCAGCAAGTCTGGTAAACAAAAAAAAATAGCAATGCCCAATTTTATCCTCGGGGAGTTGAATTCTGCTTTCAGATTTATCACATGTGATAAACCCAACGCCATTAACCATTCCCAAGTTTGAGGTTGATGAAATTAGTGAAATTCGGTATCCCAACCATAACATATCATAACTGGAATGATGTGAAACTTAATAACCATTAACCAGGTATATAACCATGAATATCAACCATAAATTACTTTACTTCGAGTGATCCCCACCATGACATTTATCGATTTGTTACTGGCAAATCTTCTGGCATTCTATCTGACATATCTTCTGGCATTCGATCTGGCATATCTTCTGGCATTCTACCTGGCATATCTTCTGGCATATGTTTTGGCATATCTTCTGGCAACCACAAGCATTGCTTCTGCCAAGTGTGGCGACATATTCCCCAGCTCCACAGGAACATCCGCGCAAGCCATCACAAAGTCTCTGCCTAAGTCTATTCGGAAATGCTCTGAAGGTCACATATCTGTCTGCAGCGAAATAGGGCCAAAGAAGCGGTAGCAATACTAACCCATACATACTTTTAGCATCCACCTCATGCATACCAGCTGAACCACATGTCAGTTACAAGTGTTGTCATGCAACTGCTGTGATGCAACTGCTGTCATGCAAGTGGTGCAAGTCAAAACCAGCGCAAGCTGTTGCTTACCAATACAAACTGCTAAGATACGCATGATGCAATGCTGCTCAAACACATCATCCGTTCCACGAGACAACTTGCTTTGACTTGATCTTGCTTGACCCAGGACCCAGCAAAGCAAGCGATCCACTCAAATTCTACACACATGATCTTGTATTCTATCTGGCTTATGATCTGCTGTTCTTTGTCCATATGTTCTAGTCTAGTCCACTTGACTGGCAAACTTCTTTCGGACGTTCTATCCTGCATATCTTCTGGCACACTTTCTGCCAATCTATGTGGCATATCTTCTGGCATTCGATCCGGCATTCTCTCTCGCATATCTTCTAACATTCTAGCATTCTATCTGGCATATCTCATGGCATTTTATCTGGCATATGCTTGATGTTATAAGATGTTATAAGTTTGTATTGGTTAGCATGATATGTTCAAAGCATCTGATAATGTTACACATGGTCACCTCAACTTCATGAGAAGATGAGATGCACAATTCATCGAGTACAAAAGCAAGGTTGATCAGTAGCTGCAGAGCCAAACCGAAGCAAAACCATCTTGGCATAAAGGACAGACAGAAAAGAAAGCATAAAAGACCTCTCATATGTTCTAGTGCATTTGACTGGCAAACTTCCTTCGGACGTTCTATCCTGCATATCTTCTGGCACACTTTCTGCCAATCTATGTGGCATATCTTCTGGCATTCGATCCGGCATTCTCTCTCGCATATCTTCTAACATTCTAGCATTCTATCTGGCATATCTCATGGCATTTTATCTGGCATATCTTCTGGCATATATTCTGGCATATCTTCTGGCATTCTATCTGGCAAATCTTCTGGCAGATGTTCTGGCATATCTTCTGGCATATCTTCTGGCATTCTATCTGGCATATCTTCTGGCATACTATCTGGCAAATCTTCTGGGATTCTATCTGGCATATCTTGTGGCAGTCTATCTGATATTTTATCTGGCATTCTATTTGGCATATCTTCTGGCATTCTATCTGGCATATCTTCTGGCATTCTATCTGGTATATCTTCTGACATTCTATCTGGCATATCTTCTGGCATTCTATTTGGCATATCTCATGGCATTTTATCTGGCATATCTTCTGGCACTCCATCTGACATTCTATCTGGCATATCTTCTGGCATTCTATCTGCCCGTCGAGGTCCAGCAGTGCGCGCTGGGCTGGGAAGGTCCCCGGTTGAGGTCCAGCGGTGCACACTGACCTGGGCAGATCCCAGGTTGAGGTCCAGCGGTGCACACTGGGCTGGGCAGGTCCCAGGTTGAGGTCCAGCGGTGCACACTGAGCTGAAACGGTCCCTGGTTGAGGTCCAGCGGTGCACACTGAGCTGGGAAGGTCCCAGGTTGAGGTCCAGCGGTGCACACTGAGCTGGGAAGGTCCCAGGTTGAGGTCCAGCGGTGCACACTGAGCTGGGCAGGTCCCAGGTTGAGGTCCCAGTGCACACTGAGCTGGGAAGTTGGCAAAGAGCTTGGCGAAGAGTTGGCAAGGCGGAAGTGGAGGTGGAAGTTGATGCAGACATGGTCGAGGAGAAACTAGAGGGGGAGGAGGAGGAGGACAGCTAGCCGAGGAGGAGGAGGAGAAGAGCTCTGATAAAATCTAACAACCCTCACCTGGCAGGTGGGGAAAAACCATGACTGGAATGATGTTTGGCCCCCATGGTTGGTATATGTTGCTATTCAGACAGTAGCCTCCGAATCCTCGCAGCTTTGCGCCCGCTTTGCGCAAGAGAACTTCATTGGCCTCGGTGAATCAGGTGATTCCGGTGACCAGAGATACTGTGGAAAATGGTCCCCGGAAAGCCCCATGATTGCCCCATGGGAAATGAAGATGGTTTCCGGGCCATCGATTTTCCCGGAAAAAAAAACTGGTTTGCGGGCCATGGATTTTACAACACCAATCCATTTTTCGAGATACGAGACGCGAAAACGAAATCCGAATCACTAGGACTGAAAACGGATTTGATGAATCACGGTGGTTTTTACATCCCATTGGGCTTCAAGCATCCGTTTGGTGCGGGAACTGTATCGTATTTTAAGGTGGATATGATGGATATATCTACAATATGTGTTTATGAATTGGCTGAACATACCATCCAAATACGGTTGTTTCAACACCAGAAACCATATGGAGAGAGGCTTAGGTTATAAAGCCAACTTACCTTTCTGGGGGGGCCCTTCATGTTTCATCATTGCTGCTAGCAACACTGTTATATGTTTGGGGATACTGTAAATCCTCCACTTCAGAACAAAGCAAAATACCTTGGTGATATTGCTATAGTATGTTTGGTTTAAATCCCAATTCTGGCTGTGTTTATAGTCATGGATCTTCCATTGTCTTGTGGCTAAGTCCCCGTTTATCCATTTCCTTTGGGTCAAGTCATTATGTTTTTTTGTTGATTCAGCCACTATGCTGGTACTCTGGTAACTCACCATTTTTAAGGCTTGCTCCCAAAACCCCAATTACGTTTGGGAGGGTACCCTCTGGTAAACTAACATAGCTATGGAAATTCACCATCTTCAAGTTCGCTAAATCAACTATTTGGCTATGGGCCATTTTCAATAGCTAACCGTGAAATTACCAGAGGGTAAATTGGCTAAATAACAATATCAAATCATCGATTTCCCCTCTCGCGGCAATCATTGTGCTTTCTTGTTGGTTGGAGCAACCCTGGTTTTGGACTTGGTCCCCACATGTTTCTTTTGTCAAGTCCAAAGTTTTGCGGATGAACGGATGTATTTTTGCTAGTAAACGGCCAAAACAGGAGGTTTCCTAAAATGTTGGTACCCAAAATCACCTAAAATAAGACCATTTGAGTATTGAAACCCGTGGCTTTGGGGAGAAAACCCTATTTTCGTTGCTTAAACCCTTTGCTGATGCTTGAGGTCCCTTCAAAGCAACAACCCGCACTCCGCCAGGCAACTCCAAAAACGTCGACCGCAATGCCATCTCCTGACCCCGGTGTTCGGTGTTTTTGTATCCTGGGTCCCAAAAATTGCCGTGTATAGCAACCCCCTATGTTGAAATTAGGGAGGAAAAAGGTCAATTCTGACTACCCGTCAGAAGTTGCTAAAGCCACAAATATGTTCACTATTCTGGTTCATTGAGTCACTGTTTTTTGTGAAACAACGCATTCAAAATCTGGGTAGGATAGTGATAAATCCCTGTTCTGTATCCGTTTAGGGTTGATACACACGTGTATCCATATCTATATATATATATATTCTAATATATTGCAATCAGAAGAGAAGAGGGTGCACAAAAAAAAACACTTCAAACATTCCTATTCAAGTAAATTGTCTACGGTATCAACCTGCAAGCAACTATCAGGAATGTTGGTAAAACAATCATAAATCCACATTTTTTATGGTTTATACCACCCATAAAATTGGTGATTTAGGGGATGGTTTATGGCATTGTCTTAACCACATCATGTGAAATTCATCCCTCTAAACCTGGCTGGGTCCCAGTTGGGTTAAGACTACAAGTTATTGCGACAAAAACCGAATCATTACTGGAGCTATGTTAGAGCTATGTTATGTTGCGTTTATCGGCTTAACTATCATAAATCAGCTATAAATCCCATGAGTTCCCCTTGGTCACTCCTTGGTGAAATCCATCGTTTTCCAGCGAGTTTTCCCTACCTTGTACTGCAACAGAAAGCTCTGCATCTGCGTCTGGAAGTAACGCAGAGCGCCCTCCACAGTCGAAAGTAACGTCGAAAGATCCGACGCCTGCGACAAGTGAAGGTATCAATGAATTGATGGTATCAATGAAGTCATTTAGCATCTATTTTTCAAAGCAAGATTGATATTGGTTATCGATTTATTAGTCCAATTTCATAGATATCATTGAGATGATCTAAGATGCATATCATATCTTTACATCATATGTAGCAAAACCACTCAATTGATAAGTTTGGGTACCCCCAAAGTAAACATCTCACTAAATCGCCCCTTGGACTGTCTCAGTGAGAATCGAACCCCTTCGACCGCCTCGGCCGAAAATGCACAGAAATTGCTGGGTCGTATTATCGCATTCCCATGGGTTTTGCTGTTTTCTAGCTAACCCTCTGGTAATTTAACAGTTTGCTATTGAAAATGGCCATAGACATAGTGGATTTTCCCCCAAAAAAAGTGATTTTCCATAGTTAATGTTCACATGGCGTTAATAAACCCCCCCGCAATAAAGTACGCCAACTCCCGGTTCACAATAATAAAACCCCCCCGCAATAAAGTACGCCAACTGTTTTTTCCCGTTTTTTTCCGTATTTTCCCTTTAGTATTCGTTTTCAATTAGGCAATTCATTTGGGAATACATAGGTGCTTTTTTTTTTGGAGGGAAAGTTCCCTTATGTATTCGTTTTCAATTAGGCAATTCATTTGGGAATACATAGGTGATTTTTGTTTTTTTTTGAAAGTTCCCTTTATGTAATCGTTTTCAATTAGGCAATTCATTTGGGAATACATAGATGGTTTGTTTTTTTGGAAAAGTTCTGGAGTGCAAAAAAATCAACAAGGCTCAAATGGTCGATTTCCTTACTAAACCCTTTCAAAAAATGCCAAAAAACAATCACGCAAAGGGGGTAGCCTTGAAGTCCCCTGACATCAAAATAATAATGTATGTTTGCACACCCCTAAATAAAGTATTTGGATTTCAGGGTTCTAAAATTTTGGTGGTTAATTAAATTTGTTTCTCAATTCCTTTCCTAGCTGAACCCTTTCTCAAACCCTTTCTGAAGCCCTCAAGACTCTCTGAGCTGGAAGCAGTAAACTCCAAACTCCAAATCTTGCCTGAAAAGTTCTGGAGTGCAAGAAAATCAACAAGGCTCAAATGGTCGATTTCCTTACTAAACCTTTTCAAAAAATGCCAAAAAACAATCGCGCAAAGGGGGTAGCCTTGAAGTCCCCTGACATCAAAATAATAATGTATGTTTGCACACCCCTAAATAAAGTATTTGGATTTCAGGGTTCTACAATTTTGGTGGTTAATTAAATTTGTTTCTCAATTCCTTTCCTAGTTGAACCCTTTCTCAAACCCTTTCTGAAGCCCTCAAGACTCTTAGAGCTGGAAGCAGTAAACTCCAAACTCCAAATCTTGCCTGAAAAGTTCTGGAGTGCAAAAAAAACAACAAGGCTCAAATGGTTGATTTCCTTACTAAACCCTTTCCTTACTAAACCCTTTCAAGAAAGTTCACTTTATGTATGCGTTTTCAGTTAGGCAATTCATTTGTGAATACTAAAGTTCCAAGAAAGTTCACTTTATGCATTCGTTTTCAATTAGGCAATTCATTTGTGAATACTAAAGTTCCAAGAAAGTTCACTTTATGTATTCGTTTTCAATTAGGCAATTCATTTGTGAATACTAAAGTTCCAAGAAAGTTCACTGTATGTATTCGTTTTCAATTAGGCAATTCATTTGGGAATACATAGGTGATTTTTGTTTTTTTTTGAAAGTTCCCTTTATGTAATCGTTTTCAATTAGGCAATTCATTTGGGAATACATAGGTGTTTTTTTTGGGGGAAAGTTCCTTTTATGTAATCGTTTTCAATTAGGCAATTCATTTGGGAATACATACGTGTTTTTTTTGGGGGGGGGGAAGTTCCCTCATGTATTCGTTTTCAATTAGGCAATTCATTTGGGAATACATAGATATTTTTTTTTTGGAAAGTTCCCTTATGTATTCGTTTTCAATTAGGCAATTCATTTGGGAATACATAGGTGATTTTTACGATAGTTGAATGTTTGGCCCTAACTTTATTCTGATGCTCTTAATGTTTGGGGGGGGAGGGGGGGTTTATTAATACGATGTTGACATTATGTTAGTTTACCAGAGGGTAACCCCAGGTTTCCAGTCAGCCGCATCTTTTTCCTCATTGAAATCATTTCAATAATATGTGTTTACTGCTTAAAACTTCATTTCAAGTTCTATCTCGAAACATCAACGAGAAATAAATAGATGCAGATTTTACTGCATCTATAGGATTTGTGATGTTTCATGTTCTACTGGAAAACTTGCAGTACCCTCTGGTAAACTAACATAACTATGGAAAATCACAATTTTTAATGGGAAAATCCACTATTTCAATGGCCATGTTCAATAGCAAACTGTCAAATTACCAATTTATAGTTGACTTACCCATTAATAGCATGGTGATTTTCCATAGTTATGTTAGTTTACCAGAGGCTAAATTTAAATCCCCAGGTGCTACAAATGCCCCATGTCTCCCATGTCTTCCCAACGCCGCCCATGTCGCTTTCGCCTCGACATCCGACGGAGCAGCTTGGTACTTCACCTCCTCGGGGCACGCCAGGGGTATAACTATGGTATAACTATGGTTCTATCATGTTCTATGGTATAATACCTATGGCTTCATAGGGATAGAACCCTGGGTTCCTATCGAAGATGCCTGAGAGGTATAACTATGGTTCTATCAGATTTATCATGTTTTATCTAAACTTGGCTATAAGTGTGGGATTCAAACCTCCATAAGTTGGGATATATATATATATGGGTAAATTATAAGATTTCACTAACCTGAATTAAGGCCATTTGGGGATGATTTCCCTTATTAACCATGATTCCAGTGAGGTCGCAGTGAGGTCGTTACAATTTACCCAGATATATATATATATATAAATAACATGATATCACCCCTACTGTGAAGTCCCTAAGCCACTGATGAAATGCTTCCCCCAGCTGCACGGATTTTCCCCATCGAAATCCTCTCAAATCCTCCATGGAGTTGCCACTCCTATGGACCATGGCCCATTTATGGATGATAAAAATGATGGTTGGATTCTCATGCAATAGTTAGATTGGTTGGTGATTTTTAAACTATGAATAGTTGGATTCTCAATAGTATTGGTTTAATACTTAAGTCTTCTTAATAGATGATAATACTTACCAATGAATAGTTAGATCAATTATCATTTACCAATACTATTAAGAATCCAACTGATATTAATTGGTTATATGGTTGTTTCAGCCCCACTTACCAATTAGGCCGATGTGATCATGTATCACACGTTAACAGAAATCCCAATTTTTGATCGTTGAAGCCCGAGTTTTGATCAACGATGACCTATCACCGTCACCTTTCCTTATAAATACAGATATATCATATTTGGCAGTGTGTCAAAACCCTGGTACCCCTGGTGAACATCAAAATAGCTGGTAAATGGATGTTCATCTCACTAACAAATGGTATTAATAGGTATTGATCCATACCCATGTATGAAAATCCTAAAGATCCTGAAACCCTAGTTGTAGGATGTTGTTGGACACCAAACTTCGGTTGAATCCTTGTGTTTTGCGGCTGTTTCCTGGCTCCTCTTCGTGTGTCGCGGCGATGGTCTCAGTCTCTACGTGTTCTTTTTCAGCCACCTCCTAGCCGACACAGTTCGTGCAGGTGGACTTGCGCAACTCCGAGAGTTGAAGTGGGGAGATACATATAATGGCAGATACACTGCCATGGGCCATATCCCTATGGTTTTCTGAGTAATCATAAACCCTAGTCATGTGAGTTAATAACTCAGATAACTAGGGTTTACTCAGAAAACCATAGGAATATGGCAGTGTATCTGCCATAAACCCTAGTGATAACCATGGGATTTTACCAGGATGGGGGCCCCGTTCGAGCGATAGCGAAACGTTCAGGCGCCTTAGAAAAGTGGCTGAATTCTATGGTGTATGGTAGATATAACGAACTTGTATTCATGGGGTTTATAAACCAACAAACATCACTGGAGGGGCACCATCCACTAACCATGGGATTTTACCCGTAGATATAATGTGATATGATGGAATTCCCAGGGGAAATTCGAAAAAAACAACAAGTTGGTTTATAACTCAGATAACTAGGGTTTGTGGCAGATACATCACACCTCTTTTTCTGGGTTGTTTTTTTTTCGATCAACTAAACCAACCCTCTGCCATTCCAAGAAACTCCTGGTTGGTTAAGAACGGGATTCCCAGGACCAACAGGGACAGATCGCCGCTGCTCAAGTGTACAATGTCCGTTCCCCAGGACAGGTTTCTGGTGGTTTAGTTGTAATTTACAAATTATGATTTGATTTTGAATCACCAAATAACTATATAAATTATAAATGTCCAAAAAAAAAGTGGTTCAAAACTGTTTGGATTTATGATATTTATGTGTTGTGCTGTATTCATCCACAGTTAACAAAGGGTTTATTGATCAACTCGTCACTGCGAATCTTATTTTGCTGTTTGTTGACCACATTGGCAAAATTTGAACCTTGAGCGGAAAAGGTGGTAAACCCATCTAAACTACCTAGAATAAACTTGAGTATGGCCAACCGCAGATTGATAAATTCGATATGATTTGCCGGGTTTTGTGGTTGGTTACACCCCACGCAAGGGGTAACGTATGATAGCAATTGATAACATGCTTTTGGGACTATGAGAACATACACATTTTTCAAAATCCCAAAAACATGTTGTCAAAATCTTATGTTTTCTTTTCAATTTCCAAACTAAATGCATATAATTTCATCATTTTTCTCCTGTTTGATTGGTTTCCTGGATTGGTTTGAACCGATAGAAGCAATAGAAACCATTTTTTGTTTTCCTTTGATTGGATTGGAAGCAATAATCCATATGGTCATTTTTATTAAAAAAATGTTTCGTTGTTTTTCGCTTTTGCTGTTTGTGATTTGGGTTGTTGGTTCTCCAGATCTCCAGTTGATCTCCAGATTTCCATATTGGATGATTTACCCGGCCTGGTAAACTGTTACATAACGAACTGGAAATCACCATGCTATGAAAATGGGTAAATCCACGATTTCAATGGCAAGTTTCAATAGCTAAGCGTTAGTCTACCAGAGGGTATTTCCAAGTTTACATTGGAATTCTATGGTATTCTTATGGATTTGTCCTTTGAACCAATCGACCTTCAAAGCTCCTGAACCACTTCGCAGTCCGTAAGTTCGCCGGATGGGCGCATACCTGTCGTTCCTGGCTGCACCCAAGGCTACCAAGGGATGAGGATGCTGATCCCATGGAAAAATGATGGTTTAACGCTTTAAGCCATGGAAGAATGCTGGGTTCAACACGTTTCAACTCTGGAAAATGATGGAAATTTTAGCGGGAAACATCGGGGAAACCAACATGGAGGTTACAGCCATCCAAATCATCCAAACTTAGGATTTCAGACATGAAATTCATGGGAATTCCATGAAATCCCCGGCTCAAGGTAGGTCCCTCCACTCATGAGTTGCTTTAGACAGACATCTAATCAACTATACTGGGACTATTGGCAGCATAGTTTTCAGCAAGTTTTTTTTTCCAACCAACTGCTATGTTTTATCGGAGCACCTTGTAGGCATCATTTCTATGAGGTAAATCATCTGCAAACTGATGTTCCATTGCTCTGTTGGGCACAGGAGGGTATCCATGACCTGAGTTTGTTCAGTTTGAGGGGTTCAAGTGGATCCTAAAATAGGGGTACCCCCAAATCATCCATGTGAGTGGGATTTTCTATGATAAACCATCCATTTTGTGGTACGCCCATTTAGATTCTGGCAAAGATTGGATTTCACAAAAAAACAAATGCCATCGATTGACACCAACATGCCAGACATGTCGTGTTTTGTCCAACAATGTGGTACAACCCTCAATTACCATATGAGGGAAAGAGAATCAATATCAGCATGTATGTGTATATATATATATATACAGTATATATATATATGAGTATATATATAATATATATATACCATCAAATTTGGGGCTATCAGGTTGTCCGGCAACTCCATACTTGGCTTTGTCTGAAAGAAAAAACAATTATCATCTGAGAAGTGATGTTAAGCAATTGGATTCAAGGGTATGGATTAAATTATGATAGATATGGAATTAATTAAATGACGGGATATGGAAACTGGTCCGCAATCTTAATCTTCAAGCCGTGTCCAAACTTCGGCTACTTTGCCCAAAGTGCAAAAAATCTTTTCTCGCAGCCGTGAACCCCGCTGCCAAAAACGCTGCACTGTACAAAGGTTGCAGCAGCAGATTGCAGCGACCAGTCGCCCTTTAGCTTTGACCAAATGAGAACTGTGCATACCCCATGAGCCTCTGGCATCTATTTGATGATTCACTGTAAGATTTGAACATCTCTACTGCTAGGTTATTCCACAGTGAAATGAGGCTTCGAATTTGGTTACTGGCCATTTTTACAACTCTCACCGTTGTTCTACCTCTTTGGATGAATCGTCGGAGTAATATCCAACTGAAAGAGGTGATACTCTGCATAAACGATATAAGTTTGCTGGTATGCAGCATCCTCCAGAAAATTTCCACATTGACCCTGAAAATTGTCAGGTTTTAGTGGTGTCACTAATCTTCCAACCCCTGGGTCCTCCTTGGAGGGCAATTTCTCTCACCCAAATGACATAAACAAGCAGTGGAAACCCTGGTAAAATATCCGTTGGCCAGTTTGCTTGTTTTTGTTCATCGTCTTACACCATCCAAGGTCATAAGTACAGCAAATTGCTTTGGTGTTTTCAGCAGTTGCTTGTTGCAAATGATTCCTCACGATGCCTATTGAATACACATAAACACCTGTGGATGTGCACCCCAAACTGACGCGGGAACCCAAATGAAAATATCAGTATAACTTCGTTTTATAGTTTTGTCTTTCAAGCAACTTGATCAAGTAAGCATGGGGCTTATGCCACTGCTTATCTAAAATATCTAAGAAATTTTAGCGCTGAAGTTGCGGTTTGTGGCCATTTGAGACAGCTCATCAAATCTCATCAAGATATCTTGATTTATCGTGTTCAATCAGAAATCTCCCCTCAACATGTGAGTGTGATTGATCCCCCAAACATCAACGGTCACGCTGTAGAGAAAGCATCTACCCTCTGCTTATTTAACATAGCCATTCTCCATGGCCCATAGAAATAGATGGTTTACCTACTAAAAATTGTGATTTTGCATGGCTATGTTAAATAACCAGATGGTATCTCTAACAAAAAACATGGCTAGTCTGTCACATCACGGTGCCTCTTTTGTTGACTGAGATTGCCCCTCCGGATTTCACGTCTGTCCATCATGGCCTGACATAATGATGATAAAGGGTGCTAAAAAGCCTCTCTGTCAGGGGGTTGGGAAATATTGCCATTATTTAACTTAGATCAGTTGATTGACATTATTTAACTTAAAAAACGGTGCCATTATTTGGGGGTTGGTATATTGCCATTTGGGGTCTGGGAAATATTGCCAAAAATTTAAGAAGTTCTGGTTCAACTTGATCTCCCCAGCACCACATTTTTTTTGGCACCATAGCAACTCCGCATACCCTCTGGTAAACTAACATAACTATGGAAAATCACCATTTGTTAATGGGAAAATTCACTATTAATGGTGATTTTTAATAGCTATGTTAAATTACCAGAGGGTAAGTTCTTCGCCGCAGGATCTTGCACCACTCACGGCTTGTACAACATGATGTACAGCGGAAGAGCTTGCTGGTCCTGGCTGAGTCTGGGGCATAGAAAACATAGAAAAGCCCTGGTTTCCTGAGGTTACTAGCTGGTAGTTATGGATGTTCATTCCCCCAAAAAAGGCGAGAATGATCGGTTCTAAATTTATCTTCACATGGAAAATCGATGAATGGTGGATGTTCAATATCTACGTTAATTCACTAGCCAAGCCAATACAACTGAAATTAGGACAGTCAGGACTGATAGCTGCTAACTGTGTTATAACTAAGTTATAACTCAGAACCTGAGTTACATCTCAACTATGACTGGTTGGTGGTTTCAACCCCTCTGAGAAATATTAGTCAGTTGGGATGATTCTTGCCAATATATGGAAAAAAATGTTCCAAACCACCAACCAGATGAAGATTTTTCATTCCTATCAATCCCTGGATTATCCCAGTTCACTAGTGGTGATGAACAGGCGACAAGGCAACAAGGTTTTAGCCAGCCATTCACGCCCTTCAGGACGAAGGGCTACACATTTTTATGGTCTGGAATGGCTGGTGGTATGATTGGAATGAGGGAATGATCCATAATCACTATCGATAATCATCCCAGCAACCCCCAGCAACCCCCAGCAACCCATCCATTCCCTATAAAACGCAGCAGTAAGAAAATGAAGGGCTACAAATGTCTATGGCACCTTGGGAGTCCAAGTTTCTTTTTGAACGATGGAAAGGGCGATGGGATTGCCTTGTAGGTCACGAAGATTGTCGGCTTTGGCAGCCGGTCACAGGTGTTCCTGAGAGTTTGGGGGTAGGGGATGGGGTGATGGTGGCCTGAAACCGTTTGCAACATGGAAACCCCCTGGGAGAATGTTCAGGAAACCGATCTTTACTGAATATTTCAGAGTAAAAACCGATGTTTACTTGAGATTTTCCCTTCAATCATCTTCAATCAAACATCTGATTTAGCTTCCACGCTGTCACCAGCTGTAGCCTAGAGACTCGTATCGCTCCCCACTCACCGAGTGCGGTTTTTGGGGCGGTGGATACATGTTGTTGCTGCCCACAACGCATTCACCCACCAGCACTGCCTCAGGTCATTTTTTTTGGGGCGGGACCCCAGATTTGTGGGTTTCAGCCCCAAACATAACTGGTTGGTGGTTGAGCCTACCCCTCTGAAAAATATGAAAGTCAGTTGGGATTATTGTTCCCAATATATGGGGGAAAAAAACATGTTCCAAACCACCAACCAGTAACTACAGGAGATCTCAGGAGCTGATAAATGCTGATAGCCCAACTGATAGCCAATTGCCTGGCTATCCTGGACTTATCCGTTGGCATCTTTGAAAGCACCCAGCAGTCACTTGCAGTATTGAATTTCTATCACCAGTTCATAGCAGCTAAATTCACTTGAGCAGTGTTCAAAATCCCTTTATCATTCTACTATACTGGTTGGTTTATAGGGACTTCCCGTTCTTGGATGATTAGAATCCCCAATATATATATAAAGGGTAGTATAATCCCCAAACTAATCATCAACCAACAGGGGTTTAGCAGCCACTGCTCACTTCTTGAGTGGTTCTATAGGTCTCCCTACCAACTGAAAAGGCTGCATCACCTCACGCTTAGGCGTCCTCAGAAAGATGCCAAAACATGCTTCGATTATTCGTTCGATGACATTTCCAAACTTCCATACCCTCTGGTAAACTAGCATAACTATGAAAAATCACCATTTTCAATGGGAAAATCCACTCTTTCTATGGCCATGTTCAATAGCAAACTGTTAAATTACCAGAGGGTCCTTTTCCCACTTGTCCTTCTTTTTCTGGAAGTTGCTCTAAGGGATTTGGTTCAAGGAATTTCAACAACGTATATTTCATGGTAAAAACCAAGGTCTCCATTCGATTTTCCATCTCTTTATGTTGCCAAACACAATTCATATGGGGGTGCACTGCAAGGGCGCAAAACAAAAAAAAAACAATTGTTCAGCTATGACATATCCACAGGAAAACCAACTGGAAACCAACTGGAAAATGGTGACTTAATCAAGAAACATTAATATATAGCTGATCTATGATAGCTGTATATTTTTGGTTACTGTAATTGGCTTCGTATAGTACCGTTGTAGTCTATTGATCTATTACATGTTATTGTAACTGGTTGCTGTTATTAACGAAATTTATTGGTTATTGGTTGCTTCAATTTGTAAACCAGTGGGCCATTTACGTTAGATTTAGATGGCTTCATATAGTACTGTAATTGGTTGATGCTACCATAGTATAAAACAATTTTAAGAGGATAAAAATCGTGGTCAGTTTCGAAATCTTTAGTTGTTGGTCAACCATGTAATTCCCAGATTTTTTGATGGCCAGGGTGCAGCCAGAAAGACGGCACGCACCTGTGGATGCAGTAAATGATCAGCGGACCTCGTTGTGCAGATTGGTTGAGAAGCGAGAAGGATGAGAGATACCCGGCCTGGTAAAACAGACAAAAAGCTATGGAACATCCCTACGTTTCATAGACAAATCAACTACTTAACTATGGCCGTGTTCAATAGCTATGTTAAATTACCAGAAGGTATACAATATGTAGACATGTAGATATGCATATATATATATAGGTATATATTGCAGGGATATAGAGGTTAGGGTTTTTGAGGGTACCTAATTAGGGTGTGAGGGTTTTGACTCATAGCTCATAACCCTATTTTGTGGGGATGTTCCCTGAAATTTATATTATATATGGATCTAGAGGTGAGGTAATATAGATAGAACATCGATAATATGTATGCGTGTGTGTATATATATATATTGTGTACATGTGTTTTCAACTTGTCCGCCCTAAATCATACTTGGCCACCCCCAAAAAAACTTAATTTGCACAGGCAGGGGTGCAGTTCCAGTGAAGATAGCAGCAAGTGGCTATTTGTCACAGTGTAGTGAACTAACGTAGAGCCCCCAAAGATGGCAACCTGAACATTAGTGAATCACCACGGCCTTGCAACAACATTTGCTGGTTCAATCACCATTTCGCATTGTCATAATCACAATGGCTACATGTTACATCATTGGCATTATCCAACTGTATTCCCATAATATGGTTTGTTCTAATCGGGCTGCAGTTATTGTCTTTTTGAGTGGATATACATATATATATAGATATACATACCATACCATACCATACCATACCATACCATACCATACCCTCGCATTTCATTGCATTGCATTACATTAGATTCCATATATATATATAAATATATACGAGTATAACTATAGTTGTGGGTGGGCCCATCTCCCAACTTATGGCTCTGAACCCATTTTTGTGGGTTATAAATTGGTTTCTAAAGCCCATCAACACTATAGTTGCCATAAACCATAGTTGTGGGAGCTGGAAGCTAAATTAGCTATCATTGATCATAAATCAGCTACAAATGGTTATAAATCCTATGAAATCCCAAGTGTTCTAGGTTAAATCTCCATTTTCCTAGGGTTTCCTATGATGTTTCTATGGTGTTCCTATGGTTTCCCATCCAAACACCATTTTCCTAGGCTTTTTCCCATGCTTTTCCCGCGCCTGGGAAGGTGCACATCGCAGGCGTAGCGATCCGAATAGCTGGCCGAGGTGGCAAAGTAGCAGCCCCTGACAGCGGTGTCAAGCAGCAAAATTTGGGAGACCAAACAACATTAGCCAAGTATAAATGATGTTATAAACTTATATTCAATCAACATTGATATAAGCCTATGAACGATCAACATTGATATACCCATGACGGATCCATGGTGGTATATATGCTAACATGACTGGGGTTTTGAGAGATGTTCTGGAACTGGGAATGTAGTATTTTAGGAACTGCACCCCTGTGCAAAACAGCAAGATAGTATTCCACATCTCATTTTAGTTCATGGGTTTCAACCAGCAAAAATTGGGAGACCAAATCCCATAAAGGATCCATGGTGCTGGTATATATATATATATGCTAACATAAAGTGGGTATATTGATGGGATCTATGGCACACCATATATAGCAGCACCATGGATCCTATGAAAAGTTGGGAAAATTTGGGACTTAACTAGGATTTATCCGGGACTCTCGCAAAAAAAACTGGGAACAACTGTGGATCTCAGCAAGAAAAACGATTTTTTTAACTCGGAGAAATGGTGGTTTCTCCTACCGTGCCACCAAGATGCTTGCCGTAGACACAGGTCTGCGCCCTGGCACGATCGAAGCCATCGCGACCTGGATATCCAGGAAATTGATATGGAAAAATATAAGGGATTTCTGGGGATTTCGAGGGATTTTTTAGGACATTTCTGGTTTCTTTTTTTTGGATTTCTAGTGGATTTTCGGGATTTCATATGGATTTTTAGGATATCAAAAAATGATATCTCTGCTTGGTTGTTTTTGATGTTTCCGCCCGCGTTGGGGAGGAATCTGCCGCGTTTGTGAATAGTTCCACCAACAAAACTTGGACGATTTTTTCTCTGCTTGCCAACACACAAAAAACCATATGCAGTACATATTACTGGGTCAACAAGTAGGATGAATAGGATGAAACACAAGGTATCGCCTGAAACATACTAGATGAAAATGGGATGAATAGGATGAAACGCTGGATGAAAATAGATGGTGGGGTTTATCTTTGTAGTTGTATGGGGATGAATCAAAATGGCAGTCATCGGAATCGTCGTCCTCGCCGTAATAATCAGCAGTGTGGTCGTGATGATCAAAACGTCTATGGGTCAAAACCCATGGAATGGTAAACACCAAACTAGTTGGCAAATGGATCTTCATGCCCCTCCGTATTAGCTAATTTTAGGTGCCTACCCATGCGCATATCAACATCATCATCATCATCATCATCATCATCATCATCATCCTCATCCTCATCCTCATCCTCATCCTCATCATCCTCCGGAGAAAATATCTCATGCCGTCCCAATGACAACACTTTAAGTCCAATGGGCCAAGGCACAAATGTCCAGTAAGCCCTGAACAGAACGAGTTCCATGCCACAGCAGCTGGACTCCTAAGGTCAGCAGCTGTGGGTTTTGCGGTTCATCGATGTTCATCGGTTCAGCCCCCCAATGTAGCCTCTAAAAAAAATGACCACCAAGCTATGGAAAATGCTGATTTCATTGGATTTAATGGGATTTCATTGGGTTTAATGGGATTTCATGGGATTTATTGGGATTTAATTGGATTTAATGGGATTTCATGGGATTTATTGGGATTTATGATGGTATACCCTCTGATAAACAAACGGTTAGCTATCGAAAATGGCCCATAGAAATAGTTGATTTACCCACTAATAGCATGGTGATTTTCCAGTTCGTTATGTAACAGTTTACCAGGCCGGGTATTTTCCGTGCGGAAAACTACTGTATCCGAGGTTTCCCCAGGATTTCTGAAACCAACTTTTTGGGGGGTGAGGCAACCCCCAAGTCTGGTAAATTTCAGGGTTTGGTGGTGCTTTATTGTTGGCTTTACCTGTGTTCCCCATCGCTTGTTGCTTGTTGCCCCTCGATGGTGTCGAAAAACTCCCCCACTTATACATCTGGGTAAATTATAATATTTCACTAACCTGAATTAAGGCCATTTGGGGATGATTTCCCTTACTAACCATGATTTCCAGGGCTCGGTCGCAGTGAGGTCGTTATAATTTACCCAGATACATGGCTTCGAAAAACTCCCATCCTAGGCTTGGTTGAATCTCCACGGTCAGTTGAACATAGCTCATTTATATTATCTATGCGTATCCATTCATATCCATTTCCATACATCCTTTTGTATGTATATATTTGTTTGTTTTCTTTGCGTAAATAAATTTATATATACACCTGTATATATCCCTTTATGTCCATTTATGTATGGAAAAGATTTGTTTAAGTATTGAACAGAGCACAAATCTGTTCAACTCATGAAAACTTACTCTTCTCATCTATTCTCCAATCTTCCAAAGCAGCCTAGAAAAAAAACAGCGTCCATCAAACAAGCCGCTGCTTCCGCCGGCGCCGCCCTGCGAATGGAGAAATTGTTCCCATGGGAAGATGACCCAGGCCATAAAAGGGGATGACCCAGGCGTCAGTCGCGACGTGAGGTGGTTATAATTCACCCACATATATATATACATAGGTCTGTATATATATATATACATATATAATCATATATATATATAGGATTCTCACGTACTGTATGTAGCTATCAAGTATACCCATCAGTACTTCGGGGTGCTATATATATACTGGTTGGTGGTATACCTACCATTACCTACCCCTCTGAAAAATGATGGAGTTCGTCAGTTGGGATTATGAACTTCCCAACTGAATGGAAAAATAAAGAAAAAATTAACCATACCACCAACCAGTATATACATATATATGTAATTACTGTATATATAGCACCAGGTAAAAAATGTTCCAAACCATTCCCAAGTGAATGGAAAAATATGGAAAAATAATCCATTCATGTTCCAAACCACCAACCACATCCCATTAACCAAACACCACAGCTATGCTCCCATGGTCACCATGGCTCCAAGGTCGCGTCTTTGGCCATCGGTGAAGTCATCGGAGAGTCGCGCCTGCATCACCTAGGAACTTTTGTGCAGCAAAACACGGGTGGTTTAAAGCAGCAACAACGGTGGATGTTTTCTAACCCAACTAAGATGTGGCTTTAACATGGTTGAACCAAAAAAATGTGGATTTTACCAACTACAAGATCGGTTTGATATGGTTTTATATGGTTTTATAGATGGTTCTATGGATGTTTTCCAGCCAGATGTAGATAGACAGTCGCAACAACCCAATGTGGATAGCTTCACATGGTTTAACCATCAAACAGTCGGATTTCACCAACTGAGATGTGGCTTGCGAATGACACCAACGGGGATTGAAACCGATAAACATGTCATAATTCTCCAAGCTAAAAACATGTCATCTTGAGATATAAATAGGCTTGGTTTCCCATATTATGTAATGTATAACTGTATAACCATCATTTAGTGGGCTTATCGTACACAATCCATTTGTACAAACTATATAAGTATATCATGTATAGATATTAATATGTAGTACTCCCTTCCCCAAGATATTCAAACAGTCCCCTAGAAGCCCTGGCTTATTTCGCTGGCCATGGCCATGATATGCCATGATTGGTGGTATCGAATTTTAGGGATTGTAAATCGCCTAAGATATATATATATATATCATTATCATTGCAAATCTTAGATACCTGGCAAAAAAATAAATTCTTTGCTGGTTAGTAGATAATCCCATTAATACCAAAAGACTAAAGGATTAAAGAATCCATGTAAGATTGACCTAGTTATGTCCACATGATTTTAATAACACATTTATCTATGTATCACAAAGCACAATTCATCTACAGCAATGTGGGTAAAACAATAATAAATCATCCCCCAAATCACCATAAATAGGCGGTAATAAACCATTCCCAAATGGGTGGTTTATGACATTGTTTTACCCACATTACATATAAAGATCCCATTAAAATCACCATTTTTGTTGGCTAAATCCCATTAAACCACATTTTTTCATAGTTAAATCCCATGAAATCACCAGGTTAATATAACCCATTCATTTGCAGTAAACCTGACCCCCTCCCTCGAGCACCTTCTGTTGGGCACAAAACGCTTCGATAAGTCCTGCTATGCGGTGCATCTCTATGCAGCCCCCAGAAAGCATCTTGGATGTAGGGCATCACATATTTGGGACCATCAAACCTGGTTGGTGGTGCAATAACCATCCTGAAAAATGATGGAGTTCATCAATGGGGTTGGGATTATCCCATATATGAAATGGAAAAATAAAATATGTTTGAAACCACCAAGCAGATACTGGTGGTGTTAAGGATTTGGCATTGCCATTTTTAATAGCGGAAACTCGTATGAAATTCACTGGGTTCCCATCTTGGCATGATATTCACTTCGAATCATTCGCAACCTTAGATACCCTGCAAAAAAAATCATTGTTAGCTGGTTAGTACACTTCACCATTTAAATTGCAAAAGATTACAGTACTAGTTAGTATCTAACCAGTCGGTTGACCCAGTAATTACTCCCATTGAAGTAGTAAACTTCGCTCCTCGGTTCTGCACTCGAAAGGCGGCTAAGAGTTCAGTCCCTTTGCCACTCTGCTGCCTGACCCAAAAACAAATGGGGATTTGTTCGAGCCGAAAAAATGGGGATGTGCTGAGGAAAAATTGTGATTTAATGGGACAGGATGGGATATATTAATATAACCGACATTGTGATCCTTTTTTGGACTATAATGTTCACTTTTTTCCACAAGAATAATAGATTTTACCAGCAATAATGGGATATGTCACGGATATATAATGGGAATATGGTGGGTAATTGGCCAAATAGATGATATACTTGTTAGTTCACCCCATCGTCAATGGGTTTAGTTCACCCCAGATTTAGTTCACAGGGTAAGTAGGATTAGTTCACTTATAATTGCGGTGGGGTGAAAACCCACCAAGTAAAGCATAGTAAAGCAACATATATATGATTTGTGCGAAGCAAAAACGATGATTTCACTATCGACGATGATTTCTCAATGAAGAAAGTGCAATTTACTGGCAAGAGATACACATAAGTAAAAAGGTTCAGCAACGAACACAAGGAACCAACCAAAACGGACATTGACCAACGATCTTTTTGAGGGTTACACTGTTTCAAGGGTGGGCCAAAAAACATGATTTGCAACAATGTGGTAAACCTAATAATAAACCATAATGAACCTCATATTTGGAGATGGTTTATACAACCCATAAATATGATCATGATATTTGGGGATGGTTTGGTTGAAATCCTAGGTGAAGCGTCGCAAAAAAAATGGGAGACGTCCCAGCAGCAAGTCCTGGGTTACCCTCGGTTTTTTGGGGATTTCAGGATCCATCAAAAGTTGAGAAGTTAGCCAACAAGAATAACTGGTTGGTGGTTTTTCGCGCTTAGCCGCTACCCCTCTGAAAAATGATGGAGTGAAAGTCAGTTGGGATGAAATGACATTCCCAACTGAATGGAAAAATAATCAACCAGATAAAAATGATGGTGGATCATACCACAACAACAAAATCAAATTCTAGGAATTTGAACTCAAGAAACAGGCTCATTCCAGAAAACATCATGGTTCACTCAACAAAAATAGGAAAGACACCAACATCTGTAGCTTCAGAGTCAGCGATGTACAACGAGCCAGGTAGATTTGTTCGCATGGCACCAAACATGGCTGGAAATTCCTCCATTTGTAGATGAAATTCCCATTAGAAACACCTTCATTTTTAGGGAAGTGTCCATTGTCATGTTTGATTAACGAAGGGACTCATGTTTGATTAACCCATGTTTATCATGTTTGATTACCTCCAGCTGTCATGGTTTGTTTGATTAACTCCATACCTTGTTGGTAGAGACCCAGAAATATTCGGGCTTGCAAAGAAACATCGTCCATGAATTGGTTTTCCAGAAAGAGTTACAGAAAAATCTGCCTATCAGTTTTTGGGTTTATGACCCATTCCCTTAATCTTAAATAGCCCCGAGTCGTCATCCTGATTTAGGATTGGGTCTATTCATCATTGGGCACTATTTTCTATATTTTGGGTATTCAATGGTATATGTTGGATATATATTTGGATATATATATATATACATATATATATGTATATATACATATATGTATACATATATATACATACATATATATACATATATATATATATATACATATATATATATACATATATACATATATATATATATATACATATACATATATATGTATATATTTAACATATGTAAAAGTAACGTTGTATAACCCAATTTCATCCAATTTCAGGATGGTAAAATCAGGATTTGCATCTCAAAGCCAAAAAAAATGTCATGAGTAAATCACAGTATTTTTCACAACATCTTCTTCCTGATTAAATCACCATTAAGACAGCATTCGGTTTATAGTTATATAATGTTATATAAACCTTGGTTATATAGTTTATAGTTATATAATGTTTATAGTTATATAATGTTTATAGTTATATAATGTTATATAATGATATATAATGTTATATAAACCTCCATTAAATTGGTCAATCCTTGCTAATCCACCAAAATCATGGCTGAATCTTTTGCTGGTTGTGGTTCGCCAGTCCATTTAGTTCGCCAAAAGCTAAAGGATGATATCAACTAGATGAAAGTAAATGGTAAGTAAATGAAAGTTGTAAACATAACATTTACCCTTTACTACCTATCCAGTCGGTTGATTTACCTACCATTATATCACCTTTTCTTTCAACTACCTATCCAGTCGGTGATGTAAACATCATGAAAGTTAGCCGCCGATCAGAGTTCCCGCGGCACCAGAAGTTCTTCACAGCACTCCACTCCTGGCCAGGCTGCAGCTTAGATACATAAGAAACGCCACTTGAAGGATCATCCCTTGACTCGTAGTTTGTAAATGGCCTTAGTTAAGTGCGATCCATTATTATTATCCATTATTATTATCCATTATTATTATCCATTATTAATATCCATTATTAACCACTATTAACCACTATTAACCACTATTAACCACTATGAATTGAAAAATAAGGGGATAATTTACTGAATGGGGACTGAGCAAAACATTCGGGTAATTGACCAGTAAGTGGGATGGTCAATGATATGCTAATCCACCTAGTCATATGCAACGGTATCGATCACAATTTCACAACAAATCCAACAATATCCAACAATTATTATAGTAATCTGATTATTATAGTATGAAAATAAAATAATAATCCAACAATTATTATGGATTATTAAAATGTTACAACAGATCATCAAAATTCTACCTGTTTGTAATCAACGCAATGGCGATGGGAACGCCACCATTTACTTCGACGATTTTCCAGCAATGTTTGATAACGGAGGGCATTGGGGGGCCCGCGCCTGCCCTGCAGCAACATCCCCATCCTGAGTGAAATCCCATCGAGTGAGGCAACTGAGAGACACATCCCTGTGGGCTCTGGAGATCTACCTGATATACTTATAGACAGACCACAAAGATTTCGACAGCTTGGGATACATAATACATATATATATATATACATAGTATACAGAATATATCATAATATATAGTGTTTGAATTTGTCTACTCCCCCTGAATGTTCCTTAAATACCTGGGAGTCTTTACATTTCCCTCTTGGAAACCCAGGTACAGTACTTGGGGGGTGCAGGACAGGGCTTCATCAGTTGGGATATAATCTCTGTAACTATGGTTGTATATCCCACTCATAACTGGAACTGCACCCCCAAGTATGTTCATCATTCATAGTCATGAAACGTCCACAACAAAAAGGCTAGTGCTTGTGCACCAAAGAAACTGCACCTTGCTGATCACAGGAAGATCAAACCTTAAGTCAAATGACAATTTTGTGGGGCCCATGTGATGGACTCGCCGCAAGGATTTGCCTCACAACAAAAAGAATACCTGCTGAACCAAATATCCAAAGACTTCGGTGAGAATTCCTGTGGATAATGACTATTTTGCAACACATGATCTTTTCGATGTCGCTAGAATCATGGAGGAACAACTTCCAACGTCTGGTGCAGCGTAGCTTTTGATTGGATTCCATCTTCATTGTCCAAAGAAAGGCTTAGGTTGCCTTTCGCTTGTAATCTACGCAGTCTACGCATTTCTTATCTGGTGGTCATTAGTCATTACCCTCTGGTAAGCTGTTACATAACTATGGAAATCACAATCTTTAAGTTCGGTAGATCAACTATGTCTATGGGCTATTTCAATAGCTAGTCGTTAAATTACCAGACGGTATACCATCATAAATCCCAATAAATCCCATTGAATCTAATTAAATCAACATTTTCCATAGCTTGGTGGTCATTAGTAGATGCCATTGGAGGATGGAAAATCGTCCATGCTCCAGTCGTTGCTCAATCGCCGGGGCCTAAAACGTAGTTCGTTGGTTTTAAAAATGGACTTCTTACCATTAAATATCCGGAATATCCCATGATTGACCATTGTAGTCCCATTAAAATCCATTTATCATCCCAATATACACCCATAAACTATCCACCATTCTATCCATATTGATTGTTTCCATTCTATCCATATTGATTGTTTCAGTTTCCCCTTTTGGGGCTTCGGCCGCCAGACCAAGCGTCCGTGCGAGTGGGCAACCTGGGTAGCAGTTGCCCCACATGAAGGTGAACCATTGAACCGTATCATAGGTGATTTTTCAGCATGAAAATAATGGGAAGATCACGGGAATGGGATCAATGAAGGTGAACCATATATTCTGTGTTCAACCCCAAAGCGCCCCAAAGCTAGGATATGAATATGAATGATATAAAGATAAAACCAGCATTGAGGAATGAATGATGTTATAAACATTTTTAAAAATACACCTATGAAGAATCCCGTTTACTTCTCAAAATACTATGGCTAATGAGTTAATGGACTTATATACCCCAATACACCAATACTTCCCGAAGATATATCCTGTTTTTTTTCCGTCAGGGATGGTTTGTCCCTGTAGAAAGAGGGAAGTAGTTCGAAGCCCAATTGCCATCAACATCATTGAGTAGTTTAGATTGGGAATGGTCATCCAACAACAAGAACGGGAATCGGGGGTTTATGATATCAAGTCTGCCACATCAAATGGTCTACCACCATCATTACCAACAAACATAAACCATTGTTGTTGTCACCGGACAAGGTGGTGTCCCCAAGATAGCTAAGTTGGCTTATAACTCTAACAACTAGGACTTACGGTTGATGTAGCTGTAGTTTTTTTTGTGTCATCAACCAACTTATATATATATAACATCTTCTAACTGGGGGGCACCACCTTGTAGGTTGATGGCACCAATTCCTTCATGAGATGTGGCAAGCCACCCACTGCCATTTGACAAGCTCCAAGCAGGGATGGTACTCATTGAAAAATGGGTTCGATGGATTCACCTCATCTAATCCATATTAGCTATGGAAAATCACCATTTTTAATAGGTAAACCATCTATAAATGGGCCATCTATACCATGGCTATGTTAGTCATAACCAGATGGTAATAATATTCATAATCAATTACAATGTGGGGCCCCCCAGTGATGTGAACGTTGGTTTAGATTCACCCCAGGAATACTAGTTCGTTATTTGCGTACCATAAACCATAGTGACATTGTTGTTATGTGCACCAACTGAACGCTATCGACTGGGGGCCCCACATTGTACCCTCTGGTAATTTAACATATGGAAAATCACTTCTGGTGGTTGAGCCCACCCCTCTGACAAATGATGGAGTGAAAGTCAGTTGGGATGATGACATTCCCAACTGAATGGAAAAATAAAAAATGTTCCAAACCACCAACCAGACTTTGTTGTACTAGGAACAATAATTCATACGTAGGTCAAGCATCTATAAATGGACCGTTGTCATCCCTTGTCCAGCTATGTTAAATAAGCAGAGATAAATACCCGCACCATTGCCGTTCTGGGGTATTTACCCAAGATTGGCCCATGGTCCAATTGCCAGTAATCAACCCAAATAATTGGTCATGTTTACCTTAAATGGTACGAGTAATATTTTGTGACAATCATGGGCAATCTGTCCACTATTAATACTAGGCGAATATCCAATAACGGACTACCCTCTGGTAAACTGCTACATAACTATGGAAAGTCACCATTTTTTTAGGCTAAATCAACTATTTAACTATGGCCATGTTCAAGTTCACTCTTAGTTTACCCGTATCACTACAAATGCTTCAACATTGTATATTCCACAGCTCCTCGTTGAACGGCCAGCGGCAAGCGTTTCAATGCAAAGTTGCAGCGCTCCCCTTTGGGATGTGCTGCGGAGATGAGTTTCTCCTCAGAACGGTCTCCCGCGGTCATCCGTCATCGTAAATTTAAGGGTCAGAACCATATCTGGTTGGTGGTTTCAACCAACCCCTCTGAAAAATATAGTTCGTCAGTTGGGCTGATTATTCCATTCCCAATATTAATGGAAAGTCATAATCCATTCTCCAAGTTCCAGAATTGGAAAAATGATGGCTGGATATTCACAAATAGTTCACTTAGTTCTGGCCCTTTGGATATTCGGGTGACTGTGTGGAAAATGATCCCTCCAGCCATTTCTCCGGTGATTTTGCCAAAAAAAAATGGACTGAAAAGTGGGTGGTGGTGGGAAAAGCCACAAAAAAATCTAAGAATCTGTGAACGTTACTTGGAATTATCGTCTCAAGTGATTAGGAAGAGGAAATACCGGATGGTAATTGAAACTTAAGCAATTCAATATGGGAAATTCATAGGAAAATACCTTAAAATGTGGGAAAATCCATTATAAATGGAGGTGTTAAGAGGAACATCATCTATAAATGGAAGATGTTCCATTGCCACCAACGAAATAACGGTCCAATTGTGGAACTTCACCACTATTTCTACGCCCTCCTTGTAGGGCTAGTGTGAACGGGTTGGAAGGGTTCATTCAAATCAGGCGTAGGGGACCGCAAATGTTCAATGTCAATTAGGCAATATTATATATACATATAAATGTACAGTAAACACTTGAAAAATACAATACAAACGCGTTTCTCTGATATGTCAATCTCCAAAATCAAAAAAACAACTCCATAGACACCAGGGAACATTCGGCCAACTCTGCAGAAGTGGTGGCCAGAAGGCATCTTTGAAGCAGGACTCCAGCGCATATCTGCCAGGTTAGTGGTTGTGATCCAGGAGTTGTTGCCAAGTATGAACATATGATGGTTCCAGAAACTGGATGGTTGTTTTTTCTATCCAACCAACTTATAGATGGTAAAAAACATCCCGGTTTCGCCAAAAACTTCAGCTGGGATTATGTACAGTGAAGAGGAGTGGGCGAGGGTGTGCAAAAAAAAGGCCGGTTAAATATATTGAGGATATAATTCATGGAGATGTCAATGGAATGTGTATATATATAGTTATTTATTTACATATATTTATATATCTATAAACATATATACATTTTATGTATTTATATGTGCTTAATTATTTTTATTTATTTATATATATATATAATTTTATTGATATAATCATATATATATATCCATGCATATATAAATATATATCTATATCCATGTATATATCATTATATATCCGATATCCATTGATATAACGTCAATCCCGGTCAACCCAAAGTGAACGCCTGGTTTGTTCATTGGGGGGTAACATTTCAACGGTATTTTTGACGGGGGAACCTCTGATTTTTGATCAAGCGGAGTTGTTTATCCGGGGTTGACATTATATGTATGTATATATAGATATATATAAAATTGATATAGATACGTACTATCTAGAAGTTGAATGGTTTGTACAGTTATGGGCCATCATTTTGTAGGTGTAGGGGTTGCTGCGGACAAAAGTATACAGAACTTAAAACAATCAAAGTAGGTTGGGCATCAGGTGGTACTGTGTAGTTCCGAATAGCTAGGCCAAAAAAAAAACACCAAAGATCATCTATCAAATACAAACACAAAAATACCAATATATAGATGATCTTTGATCATAAATACTCCAACTAATACTAGGAATAGGCCCGAACTTTTGGTTCCTTTTCATTTTCCAATCTCAATGCTTCGGGTTAAGTTCTGTCGGGGCAGATCAAGCTACCCGTCATCCCATTGCGAGCGGGGTATACCCAAGTTATCCCAATGTCATAAACCTCAAACTTGGGGTTTCTGAATGGCATTTAATGTTATTATTGAAACCCATAGTTACTATATAAACCCAACATCGTTTATAAATTTCATAGTTGTTTAATGTTAAGTCTTGGATTGGATGTATCATCTTGGCCATGTGAAAAACCCATGTGCATCAACTAGCAGATACGAAGAGGGAAAAAGTACAAGAAACTACTATATTTCACGGGCAAAAAACCATGGTGTCCTCTAGTTTTTTCTTAAACCACCCCAGTGTGAAAGAAACTCCTTGATTGGATCCATTGGTTCACATGGTTCATCATTGTTTTCATCACTATTAATGTGGGTAAAACAATGCCATAAACCACCCATGACTGGGAATGGTGAAAATACGGTCAAACGCCATCGTATGCCCGGACCGGTAAGGATCATCATCGTCGTAATGTCATGATGATGAACTAGCAAGATACCCCCCAAAACCGTCCCCCAACCGAAATGATAATGATATGTATCTGTCAGGGGTCATGGGGAAGAATGTGGCATGTAATTTATGATGAGGAAATGATATGTATCTTTCAAGGTGCTCTGCTGGCGTGAGCCAGTCCAACCAGAGCTGCCAAGCCTTCATTCCCTTTGGGCCGCGACTGTATGTTACTGCGGCACGGCGAAGTGTCAATGTTGCCATGAACTTCAGATATGGATGAACATTGAATCAGCGTGATTAATTAGTTGGTTGTGAAAACAGAACAGAGACCCCACATGGTAATATATGTATCCAATCGTGGTACCATTTCCATGCATCTATGTTTTAATCCGTATGGCATGATCAATGTCCCAACATATATGATCATGTTGCGCAGATCAACATGTACTGATAGTTATCTTAAGATGTATGTACATGTTGTGGCCTTCGAATTCTTGGGCAAACGATGGTGTCAGCGCGTAAAAGTGCCACCTATAAAAACTGATGATTTGGTATAGTTATCATTAACCATATAAAAATGGTATATAACCTTTAAAAGTGGCATACCTATACAAATGGTGACTAAAAATTGTTTATTATTGTTTTAACCACATTGATCCTACTTATTCACCACGAATATCTGGTATAACCCACCTAGACTTACTAACCAGGATTAGCATCTATTGTTGTCATCACTATTATATCCCACTATATGATTATTATATACCACTAGATCCCATTCTATCCCATGATACACCAACTATGTACCATTCCAAACCATGATATTTCTCATCTATCCCCTCGGAAAAATATGAGTTCGTCAGTTGGGATGAATATTCCCAATATGGAAAAATAACAAATGTTCCACACCACCAACCAGTATATATATATATATAAATATAAACAGTAATCAGTATGTATGTATATATATATATATGTATATATATGTACTATCACCATAGGATATCCAATATGTGAATATTATCCTAGAAATACATAGCATAGATTACCCAATCCCATGGCGCACACGACGTCGCCACGGTCCGGCCGCGACCGGCGGTCCCCGCCTCCGACGCGGTGGCGTCGGCACGCTGGGAGGGTCAGGTCCGTCCACGTCCAGGAGCCAAGCCCAGTCAGCGTCTCGGCGAACGACAACGGGGGTATACCTTGAGAAAGTTCATGGGGATACACTGGGATATGTATACATATACATATATATATGTATAGATATATATATATAAATTATACATATGATACATAAATATATATATATATATTCATACATATGTTGATACATCAAAATATATAATATGATAGTTGGCTGTGATTAGAAGTAGGCCACACAAGGGAAACACCAAAAAAAAAGAACCAAGGCCCACAGTCGTCCTACGTCCCTTGCTCGGACATCAACCGCGAGTTAGTTGCTCGGCATTCATCAGCTTGGTCAAACTAGGTGTCGTCATCATACTCATCCAGGAATCAAGATATACGGATAATCCAGGAAATCCATGATAATCATCTAGGATACCCCTTTTTATTCATTATATATATATATATTCATTACATTGATACTAGGTGTATGATAACTAGACTGGTCATTTTTTATTCATATTATAAACGGGACATGGATATAGCCCAGACCTCATAGACCCACTATCAATATCACCCCGCAGAGGAAGTCATTGATTTAAGTGGCTTTCCTCGTGAAGTAGCTGAAGTAGCTGAAGTAGCTTAGTTCACCCCAGTTGTACCCTCTGGTAAACTGTTACATAGCCATGGGAAAATCACAACTTTCTGATGGGTAAATCAACTATGTCTATGGCCATTTTCAATAGCTAACCGTTAGTTTACTAGAGAGTATATCCCATTAAAATCACCATTTTTGTTGGTTAAATCCCATTAACCCAGCATTTTTCATGGTTCATGGTACATTTACCCTACTTATCCCACTTTTATGGGTTAACTAAGTATGGTGCTTTACGCTGTTTCGACAAACCGCGGGATGATCCTCCACTTCTATGTTCATAATACATTCCAACAAAAATGTATACATATATAATTATATCTATATACGTCCTAAGATTTTGAATGAAACACATATACTTATTAAATGTTTAATGTATATAATATACTGAATAAAACATATATATATACATCTGTCTATCTACATATAGTTATATAAATATATCATTCACAAACACTAACCTGTTGTTGTGGGATGATCCTCTAGCCACTGAGATCTCCCACTGGTCCAATTGACCCAATTCTGCTGAGCCTCGCCGGAGAGTGGGGTCATGGGGGCTCATGCCAGGTCAGGTCATCCCACTAAACTTGTCAATCGTTAAAGCTATGGCATGACAATTTAAATCAAAATTAAGATAAAGCAATGGCATCTACTAATGACCACCAAGCTATGAAAAATGCTGATTTAACGGGATTTCTTTTGATTTTCTGGGATTTAAAATAGTTAAATGAAAGGTGTTTCAGTCAACACCCCATACGAAATTATGATTTCGTCGGGAATGTCCACATAGAGACCATAGAATGGGGCTGTTTTTCAAATGGATGGGATTAAAGCACTTCATAAACAAAAACCATCGGAGGTGTCCCGGTTTCCTGAAATAGGGGTACCCCCAGTTCTCATCATTTTTAGTTAATAAGCTATATGGTGGTTTCTTAAAACAGTGCTACCGCTAAATCATCAATTTCAATTTCGGATTTTCCATGAAATAACCGCGTTTTTGGGGTATCCCCAATTGGTGTAAAGCCCCGTTTAAAGACACAATCGCCAGCCGGGGTCAGCCAGGGTGTTTGGCAAGTTTCCAAATCCAAATGACCATGATTCTCATGGAATTCCCAATCATGGACCATTAGAAAAATAGCATATGCAATGTGCCATACCATCACACCTTTATCCGAATGACTCAAGGTAACATTGGTCGGTCAGAAATTGCATTGACTGACGAACCACCATCATATTCACACAGTTCCAGCACTTGGCCCCACAAAATCACGCACCCAATTTCAACAGCATGGCAGCGAAAAAACGTCAGGAATGATTTATTCATATGTCTCTGCGTCCTGATCTTCCAATTCAGTTTCTGCCATTTTCTCACAACGCATGCCCTCGGTCGTTAGTTGCCCAAAAGCCTCCAGCACTTTCCAAGTCTACACCGGATTTTGTGTCGAAGTTCCCACATAGAGTTGTCACCAGTCCGCTTTTTGCCACCCTTGTTCCGAAGGTAACTGTTGTAATGACGGCGCTCGCACCTCTGCACATACTCTTATACTCGGCATGGGCTTGAAATTGCCCGCGTCTCTCTGCCTTATCACAATAGGTGTGGTTTTTGGGCGAAACATCTTTGATTCCTTATGTATCCTGCTTATTTCTGGTTATGCAAACCCAATAGTTCGTGTTCACACCTTCGTTTCCCTGCTTGAACCCACGACTTCTCAACACCTCAAGTCTGCCAAAACACCCACACCGTGCCTTCTGCAGCTGCGCAGCCTCCCAGTTCCCTTTCGCACACGCCGAGGGCCAGCGACGCACAGGGCGCTTCGCGTTGGTCTGCTGGTTAACCTGGTGCGGTGAGTTTACTTACAGCAAAAGTGGTGGGTTTACCATGGTTTACCCAGCAAAAATCTGGATGTCACATGATTGAAATTGATTGAGCTAGAGAAAATGCTGCTCTAAAAATGATGAAAAATGGTGTGTTTCTCTGATGTATAAACTTGCAAAGATTCATATGTTTTTGACCAGCAAACATGCGGATTTGGTTACGCGGTGGATACTTGGAGGCGCAGTGGGGCTTGTGATTGGGACCATAGACCATAGGCTTAGAAGTTCCATAAGATGGGATATAACCTTTCTATATATATATATATGGATCTATATATATATCATATATATAATATGTCTATATGGTTTTATGAGTTATATAATGTTACATATTCCACTTAGAGCTGGAACCAAGATCCCCCAAGCAATGGATGTTTCTTCACAAGCCAACAGGGGAGCTTATCACCCTGGCGAAATTCTTTCGATGACGACGACAATATGCCCACGTGGCACTCGAGACCGTGCCTCTTGGGATTCTCCAAGATACGCGGATTGTCACAGGACGCAGAGTCAACGTCCGGTTGGTCAAAACTATGATGAAATGGTGGACAATTATTTGGGGGACCAACTAAAAATGCACGATATTGCGTCAGAAATAGTGGCCTAGTATATCAACTAGCCAGTGTGGTATATACATATATATATGTAAGCTGTTAACTAACCTTATTTCATCTTATTTCTATATTCTGGCTGACCCTGCAACTCGATTGAAAGATGGGACCTTACACACAAATATGCGCATGGACATTCAGATTTTATCAGCTAAATAGGTGATTAATGCAAACAACTTCCAGTGCCGCGGCGAAGAAACCAACAATTCGTTGCTAAATGAGAAGTTGGGACTGAAAAGCATCTCCGTATAACTGAATAATACATCAAACACCTGATGCAAGGCTAGGAATTCCTGATAATCAATCAAAAACCTGGAAAGTCAATTGGTTAACTATATACATATACAGTTTCTCCAAAGAAATTGAAATTACGTCAATGACCACTAGTTCAATGGCTTTCGCTTCTTATTTTTTAATTGTGATTCAAAATTGGGGGATTGTTATATATATATAATGTTATACATGTAATATATACTACAGTATATATGTTCGGTATATATATATGTACATAAATTGCAGATTACTACAGTATATATGTTATATATATATATCATTATATATCAACAATGAAACTACCTGGTTTTCCTTCCAAAAACTCGTGGGACACTGAAGATATCAGGCCTGCTCTGCATCGCATGGTTGTCCATTGCAGGCCTCCTGGAGCGGAAAAACTCAGCGACTGCCGACCGAATTATAAACCTATCCCTCCAATGAAGAAAACCATGATTAGGGTATATAAACATCATTCTATAGTATATTGTATCGGGTATTTAGTATATCCGATACCTCATGATGTTTATATACACTATGTATACAAAAGGATCAGAGTGGACTATAGTGTATATGCACATCTGGTATCATGTTATATGGATAATATAGAAATCTACTGTGCCCTGGTACCTTGTAAGTAAGGGGATTCTTTCAATCTTTTGCGGGGATGAGGATGAATCCCCTTTACTGTCGTTGATGGCGAGGTTGGCTAGTGAGGTCGTTGTGGGCTATCCAGGCCGATACTAAATCACGGGTTCTATCTCTCTTTCTCTCTATCGATCTTTCTACCTATCTCTCTCTCTCTCTCTCCCCCTCTCTCTCTCTCCCTCTCTCTCTCTCTCTCTCTCTCTCTCTCTTTTCTCCCTATCTTCAGAAACATTTTAATGTGTATATAGCAACATGCTTTGCATTTATATTTATATATATGTATACTAAAAGGAAAAGTATATATCAATATAATACATGCCAGCTCTGCATTGGTCGTCGCCTGGCACTGGAGCGGCGGACCACCAATTGTCGTTTTTTTTGGTTTTTTTTTGAGGGGGGGCCTTCCAAAATATGTTTTGTGACAGGGCAAGTCGGTTTTGTATTTTTTTTGTTTCCGGGCTTAAAACAAGGGACCGTTGAAGCCATTTTAATCCAAATTTGCAGAATAAAGAAAAAAATCCTAAAACCTGCGTCTTGTAATAATTCTTTGCACCCCCCCTTCAAACATCAATATTCGACTTGTTTCGGGAAATTTGTTGGATAAAGATCCCGCTTGAAAAGTTCAATTGAATGAGAGGCAAAACCTATTGCTTTAAAGCAAATCAACTTTTTGGGACCATCTTTGCCCAAAAGGAGGTTCCATCCATCCCGTCCAAACACACATGCGCCTAGGCCTCAGTATGACGTGCAAGTAACCATTCGAGTGTGCGTGGGGAACCCATTTTCGTGGAGATGCCCCCAAAATTGACGGGGCTACCGCTCCAAAATCCCAAAAAAGAAGCAAATTTCAATCACGTTGGCCCCACGCGATAGAAAAATTGCTGGGATGGCACCAATATTTGAAATCTTCAACCAATATCAGACATAGAAAAGGGACGCTATTGCTGAAATTTCGTCGGATAGACATCGCTACATTTCAAAAAGGCATCTTTCAAGAAACGTTGGTTTCAACTATAGCGTGCACATCAGCTACATCGAACAAACCTTGCGCGAAAACATTTACAAAAACAGTTCTTTTGGTGCTTTTTATACCTGACAAAAAAGATATAAATGCACATATGTTGCAAGTTTTAAATATATATATAAATATATATGTGTGTGTGTTATTATATGTGTGCGTCCGTGCATATACACATGCAGTTACATGCTATCTATCTACCTACCTACCTATCCATCTATCCATCCATCCATCCATCCATCCATCTATCTATCTATCTCTTTTCTCTCTCTCTCTCTCTATCTCTCTTTCTCTCTATCTATCTTTCTACCTATCTATCTATCTCTCTATCTCTCTATCTACCTACCTACCTATCTATCTATCTATCTAGCTACCTAGCTATCTATCTAGCTAGCTATCTATCTATCTATCTATCTTATCTATCTCTCTCTCTCTCTCTCCCTCTCTCTCTCTCTCACTCTCTCTCTCTCTTGAAGTCATGTAATATGCATTCAGCAGTTCAGCAACATTTATCAATACAAACATGCCAGCGCTCCATTTGTCTGCAAGGCCTATCTTCCTCCAGCGTCATCAAAGTTGAGGTCGTGCAGCAGCACCACGATTGCAGCCATCGCGGCTTAGTGAGGCGCACGTGTTCTACGCACTTTCACACGCTTTTTTTGCTGGAGCCGATTTGCAGCAGTTGGAAAGGAGCATTGAAAGTTGTTGCGCAGAACAATTTGCGTGCTGAACTGTTAGATTCAAAATGTGACCTTCTACACTGGCGCCTCCATATCTTGCAAACAACACAGTTCAAAGCTATGAGCAGTGAGTGATCGCACATGTGCTTTGCCAAATAATTATGTAGGTCTTTGGCCCCCGCATTTGACAATGAAAGCTTGTTTTCAAGCAATTGAACACAAGGTCGAATTTGAATACCTTAAATGATCTAGATCCAATTCTAACCGAGTAAGGTTTCAACTCAAGCAAGAACGAGCGCGCGGTCGTGAATCTCTTTTTCGCCTCTAAGGCGGATGCTTGTCGCCGGGGCCACGCAGGCCTGCCCCACAGCTTTGCTGACGAGGCTGGAAAAATTGCACCTGGCAGCATAAAGTCGCTTCGCCGTTGAAACTTTTGTTTTTAGCACACGGAGACGTTTGCCACCCAGCCTCGCAAGTGCCGTTCAAAGGACGCAGGACTTACAGCATCTTCAATGAGGCCTCTGCAGCGCATGGCAACGCAAATGCAAGCAACTGCCCCGTTATACTTTTCAGTGTTTCCGGTGTTTGGCTTTTTGACATAGGCCTAGGTTTCCCGACCTGCCAACGAAACCCATTTTATTGGGTGAGGTCCACTACCTGCCAGCTATAACAAACCGAGAAAGCACACGAATCAGTAACTTGAGCTTTCCAGGCCTGCTTCATGACGTCTTGTCTGTGAGCAGGAAGGGAAAGGACCCGTAGTGCTTGGGAAGCCAACTTAGCTGCCTCAGGATCTTGCTAAGTTTGGCAAACAGCACGACTGGCCTCCGCAGCGGCGTGCTCTGCTGCCCACTGGACGTCCTCCGCAGTGACTTCAAATGCCTGCCGGAAGCCATCTCAGGGAGGAGTGTACAGTTCAATGCATCGCTGGCACGTTGCTACCCATGGTTTCGTAATGTTTCGCAGTTGCAACCGAGCGGCAATAGCACCACGGAGGACACCCTCATCGACTGGGCCCGATAAAAACTCATCAGCCCAGTCGGTAAACCGCTCGGCTCTGGTCCAGATGTAATTGGAACATCCAGACCAGGAGCCGTGCTGGTCATACCCCCAATCCTGGAAGGCAAATCGAATGCGCTGTTGTTTTGCATTGCTGCTGTCGTTTCATCTGATTCCCCGCCCGTCCTCCTTCAGATGCCACATGCGAACCGTGGGCGGAAGGATTGTGATGCTTTGGGTTCTCTCCGCTCTGCGACCCAACACTTGGCGGGTGGAGCTGACATGCAAGGACAACGAAGGAGTCGTCTGCCAAACCCAAAGCTGCTTGGGTTTCTGCTTGAAAATCGGCGGCCCGACGATCGGCAAACATGTGTTAGAAGCACCAAACAAATCTCGTGGATTGCTTGTTCTCTTGAACCGATCTCTCACTTATCCACCAGACATGTGCATTGCTTCGATCAATCGTTAGTTTACTGTGAACAGAAACAAACAAGGCTACATCAGAGAATATACAGTCAAGATCACAAGCCTGTGCAAAACACCGCTACAGTACATTTTCCAGCTCCGCAAAGCTTTCAAATTTGAAAATACTTATCGAATGCGTTCGGCAGCAAGACGGAGCATTTCCGAGTCTTTCAACAATGGTAATCAATGAGATGCGCAACAATGCCGCCTACATCGGCCACAGCAAAGTTCAAACTAAGATATAAATGCTTTGGGGTATTCTTAACATCGATAAAAGACGACAGGTGTCTGAATTTGTTTGGATAGCTTCTTTGTCACATCGTTGGACTCAATGCAAATAAAAATAAAAATAAATTGCGTTGTAATTATATACCCTCTACCTCTTTTAACCTCGTTCAAAAACAGTCATACAAAAGATTCAAACCTTTGCCCAGCGATACACTTTTTTACGTTTTTACGACTCTTTCGTATGATCTTCAAATACGCAATATCCTAACCCTCACTCAGTATCATTGTCAACTGTCTGAGTAAGTGGACCAAAAGCATTACCAAAACTTCTGACTATCGACTTGCATTTTCGAACACCGCGCTCTATAATCACTTGTTTACTTCATAGTGGATTCAGCCTTGAGTTCCTCAGTGGTCAGGAGCTCCGGAGTTTCCGGGTCGTCCAGCTCAGACACGGCGACTTGTGGAACACTCGTAGCCTGACCAGACAGGCCGGTGCAGAAAGGCAACCAATGCATATTTTTGTTATCGATTTAAGGTTCCGGCAGTGCTGCTCTCGGCGTCCGAATCGTCGGACCTTTAGCCACAGGTGTTCAAGATGTGATGAATCAGTTCGAATCTGTCAGCGTTTGGTTCCTCCTATCAAACTTTGATTTCAATGATCTGAGCCTACGGCGGTTCGATGACTTCGCCATCTACCAGATCCACCACTTCGTATCCGCCATGGTGCCCACAATCCTCACCTGAAAGGGCTGACTCAAAAAGACTAAATTTGTGATTAAACACCCGACGACTGTGACAAAGCAGCACGCAGTTGTCGCCGCGATACCCCTGGTCTTCGCCCAGTCGATCGCATACATGC